TAAGGTGATGCATCTTATGATTGTGAGGAAATCATCATGTCTCACCTCTTAAAACTTCCAAGAAAGCAGTTGTGAAAGTAAAAACTCATCAGGAACACTTCATATAAACATTTTTGGATTCTTCAGGTTTTCAAAATAACTAATATAATTTGTTCCTGATATCATATCTCATTCCAACAGAAAGAAGAATCAGTTATGCGTTACCTTTTCGAAGCCTTGCGATCCACCATGGTAAGGATCTGGGACTTCGGTTTCATTATGCCTCTTACAATAGGAGCACGTTAACCTAACCTGCATATTCAGTATCCAAATATAAGAGTAGCAATCCAAAATACACTATTACACCAACACTACTTAACCAACCTTCTTATGTGCATCAGCAGGTAAGGTCTCTCTATGACTCCACCTCTCAAAAGCCCCAAGTATATCCTCTACACACAATCAGGAAAATTCAAGAAAAGTAAACTAACAGCCAAACATAGACACAAATATGTCACTCACAAACAACCCCCCCCCCCAACACACACTCTCTCTCCCTCTCTCTCTCTCACAGACACACGCAAGCAAACAATAGTGGATGGGCATTTCACAGAGCACCATCCAATTCTATTCAACACACGCAGAACAAAAGGATGAAAAATATATATATTTCAATGCCGTAATTCGAGTATACCAACTCAAATCATCACACCTCTGTTTTGCTTGTCCATTGCAAGTATCAGATCGAAGTCTCTGAAATCCGACGGTTTTATTGGCCTTGATATCGAGGTTATCTCGACTCCACGCTTTTTAGAGGCAGCCCTCATTCTTGGGTCTGCTTCATTTCCCTTGAGGAAACACCACCACAAAACAACAATTCCAAGAAACTCAAATCAAATCACACCCCACAACTCTACATAATCATTGAAATCACGTATTAAAATCCCAAGACTTCACACACAAACACACACAGACAGAGATACCTCATGGTAATTGATGGTACCGGCAGAGTCAATGGTGAGCTTGGAATCAAGACCCTTTTTCTTGACCAAGTCTCTGAAGACACCTTCAGCAGCTGGGCTTCTACAGATATTGCCAAGGCACACAAAGAGGACTGAGAATGGTTTAGTCTCTGCCTCTGCCTCAGTCGCTGAAGCCATTAATGCTTTTCTTATTATGGGTCTAGCTCTGCGTGTTTGTCTCACTTGGTAGTTCGAATTTTTCAAAGACGGGTTTTGCTTTGGAGGAGGAAAGGAGAGAAAGAATGGGGATTCCAGAGAGAGAAGACGAGGGAGAGGGTAGTGGCAATATGGTAATTTTATAGTGGTTGCCAGTCTAGTGTACAATGGCCTCATATCTTTTCCTGTGTACCTGCAATAAGAATTTAGGCTGGTACAAGCTCCTGGTCCTGAAGAAATAAATATCAAGCTGTGTGTGCCAAAAAGATAGTTAAAGCAACTCCAACTACATTCTTCTACATAAAATACTTAAATATTATTCTTTATTTTAGAAAGTCAATTTTTTATAAGTTCGTTCTAAGTATATTTTTTATTTTAATTAATTATTTTAATTAAATTTTAATAATTTAAATCAAAAGTATCATGTAGCATACCATGTCATCATCATATTGTTGACATGACACGATAGTGTGTTATGCCACATCATCAAAATTTAAACTTTATAATGATTATGGTCACATTTTTAACAATCATATTTTCAATGGTCGTATTTTTTTAACAACCATAACTAAAATGTATCATGAACAAATATATATATATATATATATATATATATATATATATTATCGTATGAAAAATTATAGATTGACGGACGAATGCAACATACTAATGAAACATTAAAAAGGTCCTCATATCATTGATTTGACGGCCGAAGGCAAATGAAAGAAAATTTATTGAAAAAATTGGGGGTTTGAGCAATTGTTTCATTCTTCGCACGTGCCACCAATAAAACAAAATGGGAATAAAAAACCTTAATTGATGGAGCACTGATGGANGAAGCATTAACTATCTTTCACACTGAAAGATCCATTAGATCACATCTTCGTGTGCCTGAGCCAATTCTCTCTCCCTCACTTCCTCGGGTGGATGTTTGAGTTTTTGGTGGCTTAACCCTCACCCGGAATAGATGAACTCTCTCTCTCCAGGTTTTTTATTTTTGAGATTTGTAAAAGTGAGTTTGAACCCTAGACCCTTTCCCTTCTCTCTCTTAAGATGTTATGTCATTACTTAAACAACTGTGTTACAACCAGTGTTATCAGAACCGGACCAAACCAGCTGGTCGGACCGGTTCAACTGTGAACCGGAACTCTAATCGGTACGGTTCCTTAGTTGAATCGCTTAAGGAAGCAAACCAGCTAAAAATCGGCCGGAAAATTGGCCGGTTTTTAAAAATTAAATTACATAAATANAGAAAACAATTTTCTATGCACAACAGAACAGTGGATCTGGTTCATCACTTTCAAGAGGGGCTAAGAATCCAAAAGGTGACTGTTCTCTGCCAAAATGCTTCCCAATAGCGACTCACAAGCATCTTCGAGTAAATCTAAAACCTGCCAACGAGATGGGATTTGCTTGTTATCATATCTTGTAAATAGTAAATAAGTTCCCAATGAAATTTGCTTAAGCTTCGCAACCACATTACACTGCACTTTAGATTTTTGCACTCCACGTTGTGAATATGATCAAAAGCAACGCGTGGAAAGCAAAAAAAGGCAGAATACTGACAGAAGTAATCTTGATATTTTGATATAGTAAATCAAAAAAATTAACAGAATCTATTTGNATATTTTTTTATTTTTTTATTATATGACCGGTCCGACCAGTTGAGCTAATGGTTGAACCAGTGAACCATTGACCCGATTTTTTTGCCGGTTCGATGACTNATATTTTTTTATTTTTTTATTATATGACCGGTCCGACCAGTTGAGCTAATGGTTGAAGCAGTGAACCATTGACCTGATTTTTTTGCCGGTTCGATGACCAGTCCGGTTCTGATAACATTGATTACAACTGCTTTGGCATATGAACACAGTTTTTGCTTACATTGTCGAGGCCATAGTCTTTCAATAGCAACAACTATCCTTACAAGTAGAATCCAACTAATGGCTTGGAGGATTCCTCCCCAGAGTGCTTATAACATAATTGTTTTTTGGGGCAAGCAAGGCGCTTTTAAGACAACATCCTTTGATATTCATTGAGTGCTGATTTTTTCCAGATATATTGCTGGCCACACTTTTTTTAATTCCTCATGCTTCTGTTTCACTAATATATATATATATATATATATATATTGCATATATCCAGAGCTTAGTGAAATCTTTTATCAGTGCATGCTAGAGCAAAGCTTCTGTCGATTCGGAATTAACTACCACCAAACAATACTTAACATCGCTCGAAGAAAAAGCAACCAATAATTTTTGTAAAAAAAAAAAAAAGAGAACGCTAATCAGTGGATCAATAGCTTCATCATATCTTGTTGGTAAATAAAAGTCAATTGTTTCAACAAAACAAGAGAAAAAAGGGGAAGAGAGAAAAGTAAAAAGGGGGGGGAGGGGGAGGGGGTGGGGGTGGACCCACTTGACATATGGTTTCCTCATATACCAACCAAGATGCAAAACATAGGGTAATATAACAATGTACGACCCAACTGAATGAAAAGTGCATACATATATTTTTCCATCGGGAATTTAAGTATCTCAAAGTTCTATTTGCTCAAAAGGACATCCCAATCAATGAATAATATCAGAAAAACAATAGGCCGCCACAGTGACCACAATGGGTTCACTATAGTTAGATGTGGGTTTGGCATGATGAACAAGGGATCTTTTAGCAGAAAACAATTTTCTATGCACAACAGAACAGTGGATCTGGTTCATCACTTTCAAGAGGGGCTAAGAATCCAAAAGGTGACTGTTCTCTGCCAAAATGCTTCCCAATAGCGACTCACAAGCATCTTCGAGTAAATCTAAAACCTGCCAACGAGATGGGATTTGCTTGTTATCATATCTTGTAAATAGTAAATAAGTTCCCAATGAAATTTGCTTAAGCTTCGCAACCACATTACACTGCACTTTAGATTTTTGCACTCCAGGTTGTGAATATGATCAAAAGAAACGCGTGGAAAGCAAAAAAAGGCAGAATACTGACAGAAGTAATCTTGATTTTTTATTTAGTAAATCAAAAAAATTAACAGAATCTATTTAGTAATTTGGAAATCTTATGATGGGAGGATTTATATCCATCATAGCACCGTTGTGCTTTGTAGCTCAATCTAGCATTTCTGGAGTTCATAAAAAACAAGAGAAGGGCCTAGAATTCTTTGTTTGAGATGTTGACAATAAAATGAAATATAAACATTGATGTTTAAAGTAAATAAGGTGCACAAGCTGAACGTATAGATTAAGTAGGGACTAGAGAAGCCACAAAAGCAGCATAAACAGACAGCAGCACAAGGCAAAGCAGAAAAAGTAATATGGCAAAAATTTAAGGCTCAACAAGGATGTTAAGAAGGCCAACTAGGAAAAAGAACCAGGTAGCACCGTAGCATGAAAATACCAAGGAACACAAATTTCAGAAGGTGTAAGGTACACTGACATGGTGTAATTTGTTTAGCAGAGCCCAATATTATGTTGACTGAAGGGTAGTTTCTAATGAACTATGTCTAGTTTTTTATTTTTTTGGTGGGAGGGGAGGGGGGAGAGGGACATGATCCTTTGATCTCAAGAGGGCAAAGTCTTTACAAGGTAAAGAATACCATTGGACCAAAACCAACAAATGTTACTAGAGTGAGATCCAGATGATGTTTGGTTTAGCTACTCGTGAGGCATACAAGGATAAAACAAAGATCCCAATTAAAACAAACTTGCAAAGCACTCTAAGAAAGAGAGTGCATGGTGTTAAACATCCCAGGTTACTGCCTCTTAAACGACTTGTTCCAATCATATGCCACAACTGAATCACTAAAACCTTTCTCCTTCAAACGACCTTCTATTTAGAGACATAAAGGAGGATAAACATTCACATGTAGGCATTCTCTGTAACCTAGGCAACATGCATATGCATTAAGCCCTCAAATTATTCAGCATCACTATTAAACCATGGAAAAAGTACAAGATTTAAAGGAAAATTAACCAATGACTTACATAAAACTAGGAAAAACCTTTAGTGATATTCGCAAAACTAACACAGGAAATTTTTCGGTAAAATTATGCATTGAGACATGGTAAAGGGTAATGCTAAAAACCAATTCGTGTGTATATGCATATCCATATTCGTACACACATGCGTACACAGATACATGGTCCTTGTTCTCACTTTCCCTATAAGCATGATTATTGACTATTAGAATCCAAAATTAACAAACTTAAGGATATAGCCAAAGAAAATTATTACCCATCATACAGTAATGTTTGTCATAAATAAACAATAATACACTATAAAACATGTATTTTTTTGTCATACCCTTGTCATGTCTACGTGCTACTGTTTAACATTGGTTTTGCCGATACATCCATGGGAAGTGGGTGTTCCATGCTCAGGGGCTGCTAGATACATGAGTTCCTCATAATTGTTATGTTCATATGTTGTTCTAAAAGGTCTGTGTACATTTCGTCATGTAAGGTGATGCATCTTATAATTGTGAGGAAATCCTGACGAAAGCCAATATAGAGCCATGATGAAATGAGTTGAGTCGAGTTGTTGTATGATGTCAATCATGTCTCACCTCTTAAAACTTCCAAGAAAGCAGTTGTGAAAGTAAAAACTCATCAGGAACATTTCATATAAACATTTTTGGATTCCTTAGGTTTTCAAAATAACTAATATAATTTGTTCCGGATATCATATCTCATTCCAACAGAAAGAAGAATCAGTTATGCGTTACCTTTTCGAAGCCATGTGATCCACCATAGTAAGGATCTGGGACTTCGGTTTCATTATGCCTCTTACAATAGGAGCACATTAACCTAACCTGCATATTCAGTACCCAAATATAAGAGTAGCAATCCAAAATACACTATTACACTAACACTACTCAACCAACCTTCTTATGTGCATCAGCAGGTAAGGTCTCTCTATGACTCCACCTCTCAAAAGCCCCAAGTATATCCTCTACACACAATCAGGAAAATTCAAGAAAAGTAAACTAACAGCCAAACATAGACACAAATATGTCACTCACAAACAAACCCCCCCCCCCCAACACACACTCTCTCTCCCTCTCTCTCTCTCACAGACACACGCAAGCAAACAATAGTGGATGGGCATTTCACAGAGCACCATCCAATTCTATTCAACACACGCAGAACAAAAGGATGAAAAATATATATATTTCAATGCCGTAATTCGAGTATACCAACTCAAATCATCACACCTCTGTTTTGCTTGTCCATTGCAAGTATCAGATCGAAGTCTCTGAAATCCGACGGTTTTATTGGCCTTGATATCGAGGTTATCTCGACTCCACGCTTTTTAGAGGCAGCCCTCATTCTTGGGTCTGCTTCATTTCCCTTGAGGAAACACCACCACAAAACAACAATTCCAAGAAACTCAAATCAAATCACACCCCACAACTCTACATAATCATTGAAATCACGTATTAAAATCCCAAGACTTCACACACAAACACACACAGACAGAGATACCTCATGGTAATTGATGGTACCGGCAGAGTCAATGGTGAGCTTGGAATCAAGACCCTTTTTCTTGACCAAGTCTCTGAAGACACCTTCAGCAGCTGGGCTTCTACAGATATTGCCAAGGCACACAAAGAGGACTGAGAATGGTTTAGTCTGTGCCTCTGCCTCAGTCGCTGAAGCCATTAATGCTTTTCTTATTATGGGTCTAGCTCTGCGTGTTTGTCTCACTTGGTAGTTCGAATTTTTCAAAGACGGGTTTTGCTTTGGAGGAGGAAAGGAGAGAAAGAATGGGGATTCCAGAGAGAGAAGACGAGGGAGAGGGTAGTGGCAATATGGTAATTTTATAGTGGTTGCCAGTCTAGTGTACAATGGCCTCATATCTTTTCCTGTGTACCTGCAATAAGAATTTAGGCTGGTACAAGCTCCTGGTCCTGAAGAAATAAATATCAAGCTGTGCGTGCCAAAAAGATAGTTAAAGCAACTCCAACTACATTCTTCTGCATAAAATACTTAAATATTATTCTTTATTTTAGAAAGTCAATTTTTTATAAGTTCGTTCTAAGTACATTTTTTATTTTAATTAAATTTTAATAATTTAAATCAAAAGTATCACGTAGCATACCATATCATCGTCATATTGTTGACATGACACGATAGTGTGTTATGCCACATCATCAAAATTTAAACTTTATAATGATTATTGTCACATTTTTAACGGTCATATTTTCAATGGTCGTATTTTTTTAACAACCATAACTAAAATGTATCATGAACAAATATATATTTATATATATATTATCGTATGAAAAATTATAGATTGACGGACAAATGCAACATACTAATGAAACATTAAAAAGGTCCTCATATTATTGATTTGACGGCCGAAGGCAAATGAAAGAAAATTCATCGAAAAAATTGGGGGTTTGAGCAATTGTTTCATTCTTCGCATGTCCCACCAATAAAACAAAATGGGAATAAAAAACCTTAATTGATGGAGCACTGATGGAAGAATTGGAATGACCTTGGATGAATTGGACGCCACACCTGGGTGAGGATGAACCAAAATCTATCACCTTAGATTTTTGTCGACTCCAACAAAGAGAGAGACAGAGAGAAAGAGCTCCATACCTAAAGACGGTGAAGCCACAGCCAAAGAAGATGAAGACCATTTTTGGCGCAAAAGAACAAATACTAAGCCAAAATCTGCTCGCTACTCCTAACGAGTGAAAAATGGATTTGCTAAAATAACTAGTGGGATAAAGAGTGGATTGGAGAAAAATTTTGGAGATTGGCTTTTCAAAATAGTTAAGATTGGAGTTTTAGCTACTCTTGGCTACATTCCACTTTCAAGCACAACTTATTATTCTTTACCTATTCACCAAAAAAAAATCGTCTCAAACACGTGTTCATTACATTTCATCGTGATAATTTGTTATATCCAAGATTATCACTTTATTATGTAGATCAGATCCAATTGTGATCTAAATCAATTGAGAGTAAGAGTCAGTTTCGAATCCAGATAGCTTGATTTGTTATACAAACCTACATACGAGTGAGTCTCAGGTTTCAAAATCAGTGGTAAGTATTTGGTACTCATTTTAACTGTCCACAATTGTTCTGCATTACATGTATACACCATATGCTATATCAATATGCTACATATCAGTTACAACAAGGATGAGAGATCTCCAGTTGAAAACGAAAATCAAACATCTTCCTTTTCTCACATCATACTTTTAAGGCTAAAACATCTCAAACTCTATATCCTCCCCTGTACCGTTGGGATCTTTCAGACACTTGGTACTCTCTTTATTCTGGGAAGATGAATCTGAAGTGACATTCCCCATATCATAGAAGTTGGGCAGCTCCGGTGGTGTCGCACATCGTACCAAAGCCCAGTTCAGACCCTCGAAGAATGGGTGCTGTTTGATCTCAGCTGCCCCTTTTGCAGAACCTAATCTATTCTCGGGTTCCTTTTTCAGCAGCCGTCTGATCAAATCTCTTCCATGAGAACTAACTATAGGGCTTTCGGGGAACTTGAGACATTTTGACACCACGTTGGCCAGTGTATCCTCATTTCCTTGACCTTTAAAGGGTGTCTTGCCATATAAAAGCTCATAGAGAAAGATTCCAAAGGTCCACCAGTCCACTGCACTCCCATGACCTTCTCCTTTGATTATCTCTGGAGCCAAGTATTCGTGCGTTCCTACAAAGGAATTGGATCGTGCATTGGTTGGCTCGACTACAAGCTGAGGCAGTGGGCTAACTTGGGCAGCTAGTTCAGATTTAAGCTTTTTGGTTTTTGCTGCAGCAGAGAGAAACTTGGGGGTGAAGCAGGGGACTTGCCAGGATGGATGGAGGCAGAAAGGGTCTATGCAGCTAGATTCTGAGCATGGACTGGAAACCCTCTTTGGGGACTCAACAACAGGTGAAGATGATTGGAGCAATGTTGGATTCACAGCACATCTAAGTGACAAGTCAAAATCTGTAAGCATGATGTGACCATCTTCCCGAACCATTACATTTTCTGGTTTCAAGTCTCGGTAGACAACCCCAAGCATGTGTAAATACTCTAATGCGAGAAGAACTTCAGCAACGTAAAATCTACACAAATGGCATCATGAAATCAGACCATTTACCAAACAAGAAAAGAAAGAAAATCAGACACGCAAGGTCAAAAGGGGTCACATAAAATTGTGGATGACCAAATAAGTTGAATATATTTTTTGCCTTCCGAAAACAATTAAAACCACTTTACATGGTTGCTTGAAAATGTCTGTTAACTACCAGTGTTAAGCAACAACACAACTGGCCTATTGTTTCATCCATGTAGGACATGCCCAGTATGCAAAACGCAGACAAATGCAGAGTCGAAAACCAAAAAATAAGTGAAATACTCATGCCAGAGAATGTGTTATTTCATGACCTGATATTGCCAAAACCCAAAATAAAGAATTTATAAACGTCAGCTAACTTAAAAGACTTCTCATTTTCAATTTCGCCCTAAATGATTATTATAAAGCCCATGATATCCTTTGATCTCTTAAGATTAACATTAAATTAATCTATGTTAATTAATTAACCATAATGCCAGCAGACACCTCTCTTGGTTACCATTGTAAGCCCATTGTATTCTATGGTTATTTTTNTTTCGCCCTAAATGATTATTATAAAGCCCATGATATCCTTTGATCTCTTAAGATTAACATTAAATTAATCTATGTTAATTAATTAACCATAATGCCAGCAGACGCCTCTCTTGGTTACCATTGTAAGCCCATTGTATTCTATGGTTATTTTACTCCATCACCAGCATCTTCAATGTCACCCAAATTCGATGTAACCCCGGTAAGGTCACATTTCTTGATTGGCAGTTCACTCTGAGAGTTATGTGCCAAGACCACATTGCTCTCAACATTTCCACAGTTAGGTTGTGTTCAAGGTAAAGATCCCTTAAGCCACGTTCTTGTTGGCTTANGTCACATTTCTTGATTGGCAGTTCACTCTGAGAGTTATGTGCCAAGACCACATTGCTTTCAACATTTCCACAGTTAGGTTGTGTTCAAGGTAAAGATCCCTTAAGCCACGTTCTTGTTGGCTTCCCTAAATCTCAGCATATATTTTCATTGTTTTCACTAGCCTCATTACAGTTGAGATGGATGCTCCCAGCAGTTAAAGGCCAGGTAGCTATTCTCCCCAGCTGGACATAATTAGATCACAAATGATTTTTAGAGACATAATTTTCATATGTGCAACCAGAACTTTCTTGTTTCTGTGACGCTCTATCCGAGGAAGGAATTGCTCGGAATCTCGGATATTGAGCTTTTAAATTGTTCTGTTGTCAGATATGGGCCTACTCTGCTTTTGTCTGGGTTTTTATAATTCCATTTGCCTGTTTTGTTTGTATATTTACCATTAATTATCTGTAATGGTAGATAAATTTTCTCTCATTAGACCATGATTAAAAGCTTGTGTTTGTGGTATATTCATTTTATTTTCTGAATTTACATTTCATTTTACTTCTTGTAAATATTATTTTTTTTCTAAACTCAAGGATATTTTTGGACATCTGCAGGACCTATTTATTTCCATGGAGTCAGATGTCAAATATGCTAAAGAATTTTATTTATTCCATCACTGGTTGAGCCAGT